ACAAGAGTCTTGAACCCTCATGTCGCACGGAAGCTTTCAGTCATGAGCCTTCAGCGTATGGCCTTCATGCCATCGCCCTCATGACCAGCGCGTGGCCTTCATGCTGTCAGCGCCTTCATCCTCGGGTTCCAACATTCATACGGAAGCCCTCAGTCATGAGCCCTCAGCGTATGGCCTTCATGCCATCGCCCTCATGACCAGCGCCTGGCCCTCATGCTAGCGCCTTCATCATCAGGTTCCAACCTTCATATGGAAGCCTTTGGTCATGAGCCCTCAGCGCATGGACTTCATGCCATCGCCCTCATGACCAGCGCGTGGCCTTCATGCTGCCAGCGCCTTCATCCTCGGGTTCCAACATTCCTACGGAAGCCCTCAGTCGTGAGCCCTCAGCGTATGGCCTTCATGCCATCGCCCTCATGACCAGCGCTTGGCCTTCATGTCAGCGCCTTCATCCTCGGGTTTCAACCCTCAGACGGAAGCTTTCAGTCATGAGCCCTCAGCGCATGGCCTTCATGCCATCGCCCTCATGACCAGCGTCTGGCCATCATGCCAGCTCCTTCATCATAGGGTTCCAACATTCGTACGGAAGCCCTTGGTCATGAGCCCTCAGTGCGTGGCCTTCATGCCACCGCCCTCATGACCAGCGCCTGGCCCTCATGCCAGTGCCTTCATCATCGGGTTCCAACATTCATGCGGAAGCCCTTAGTCATGAGCCCTCAGCGTGTGGCCTTCATGCCACCGCCCTCATGACTAGCGCTTGGCCTTCATGTCAGCGCCTTCATCCTCGGGTTTCAACCCGCATACGGAAGCTTTCAGTCATGAGCCCTCAGCGCATGGCCTTCATGCCATCGCCCTCATGACCAGCGTCTCGCCATCATGCTGTCAGCGCCTTCATCCTCGGGTTCCAACATTCATACGGAAGCCCTCAGTCATGAGCCCTCAGCGTATGGCCTTCATGCCATCGCCCTCATGACCAGCGCCTGGCCCTCATGCAAGCGCCTTCATCATCAGGTTCCAACCTTCATATGGAAGCCTTTGGTCATGAGCCCTCAGCGCATGGACTTCATGCCATCACCCTCATGACCAGCGTGTGGCCTTCATGCTGCCAGCGCCTTCATCCTCGGGTTCCAACATTCCTACGGAAGCCCTCAGTCGTGAGCCCTCAGCGTATGGCCTTCATGCCATCGCCCTCATGACCAGCGCTTGGCCTTCATGTCAGCGCCTTCATCCTCGGGTTTCAACCCTCAGACGGAAGCTTTCAGTCATGAGCCCTCAGCGCATGGCCTTCATGCCATCGCCCTCATGACCAGCGTCTGGCCATCATGCCAGCTCCTTCATCATAGGGTTCCAACATTCGTACGGAAGCCCTTGGTCATGAGCCCTCAGTGCGTGGCCTTCATGCCACCGCCCTCATGACCAGCGCCTGGCCCTCATGCCAGCGCCTTCATCATCGGGTTCCAACATTCATGCGGAAGCCCTTAGTCATGAGCCCTCAGCGTGTGGCCTTCATGCCACCGCCCTCATGACCAGCGCTCGGCCCTCATGCCAGTGCATCATTGGGTTCCAACATTCATGCGGAAGCCCTTGATCATGAGCCCTCAACGCGTGTCCTTCATGCCACTGCCCTCATGACCAGCGCCTGGCCCTCATGCCAGCGCCTTCATCCTCGGGTTCCAACCTCTAAACGGAAGCCCTCGGTCATGATCCCTCAGCGCATGGCCTTCATGCCTTCGCCCCCATGACCAGCGCCTGGTCCTCATGCTAGCGCCTTCATCCTCAGGTTCTAACCATCAGACGGAAGCTCCCGCTCATGAGCCCTCAACGCGTGGCCGTCATGCCATCGCGCTCATGGCCATCACGGCAGACCCCCTGGTCTCAACATGATCATCTGTCTCACGACCGGACTCATCCCCTCACTTCATGGATGAGGACCGTTGCATGGATTTCGGGATCGGCCCGTCAGCGTCGACATCCTTGCATCACGACATACCCCTTGGTCTCAACGTGATCATTCATCCGGTGACACGGCAGACCCCTTGGTCTCAACGTGATAATCCCTCAGAAGACCGGCCTCATCCCCTCACTTCATGGATGAGGACCGTTGCATGGACTTTGGACTGGCCCCTCAATGTTGCCGTTCTTGCATCACGGCAGACCCCTTGGTCTCAACGTGATCGTTCATCCGATGACACGGCAGACCCCTTTGTCTCAACGTGATCATCTTTTTGAAGACCGGTCTCCTCCTCCCACTCCAAGGATGAGGACCGTTGCTGGATTTCGGACTGGCCCCTCCATGCCGCCGTTCGTGCATCACGGCAGACCCCTTGGTCAACGTGATCATCTTTCTGAAGACCCTCATCCTCGGCAGTACCTCTTGGTACCCCTCGGCAGTACCTCTCGGTACCCCTCGGCGGTACCTCTCGGCACCCGTCGGCAGTACCTCTTGGTACCCCTCAGCAGTACCTCTCGGTACCCCTCGGCGGCACCTCTCGGTACCCCTCAGCAGTACCTCTCGGTACCCCCTCGGCAGTACCTCTCGGTACCCCTCGGCAGTACCTCTTGGTACCCCTCGGCAGTACCTCTTGGTACCCCTCGGCAGTACCTCTCGGCCATGAAACCTCTCGCCATACATGAATCTTTCGGGTAACATTCCAACGGCTATATTGCGAAGTGGCCTCAGCCAGCACCCTTCGGCACACAGACAACAGTTTCCTTCAGGTTCCTATGCCTTCGAGCATGCAACATTATACGCCTTTGGTTTGTCAATGTTGCACCCTCAAGTGATCATCTCCGGTTGTCACCTACTATAGCCTTCGGGGAACAACTCTCACCAAATGCCTTCGAGAATGCAGCAGCATAAGCCTTCGGCTTGTCAATGTTCCGTCCTCGAGCATGTAGCAGCATAAGCCTTCGGCTTATCAATGTTGCACCCTCAAGTGGTCACCTCCGGCTATCATCTGTTACAACCTTCGAGGAAGCAGCAGCATAAGCCTTCAGCTTATCAATGTTGCCTTTCATCAAGTGCCCCCGAGCAAGCAGTAGTATAAGCCTTCGGCTTATCAATGTTGCACCCCCAAGTGACTGCCTCCGGCTGCAACCTATTATGGTCTTCGGTGAACAACTCTCACCAGAACCCTTCAAGAATTCAGCAGTATAAGCCTTCGGCTTGTCAATGCTGTCACTCATCAATGCATACTTGGATGATAGCCTTCGAGCAGATAGCAGTATAAGCCTTCGCCTTGTCAATGTTGCCACCCCTCGGGAGCTCATCAACACATCATAACTCCTTCAGCCCGAACTTGCCTTCGACCTAAAGGAGTGAGGGACTGGGATACACCCCTCGGGGATCATACACAACAAAAATTTCCTCATACAACAATTTACAATTGACGCATACGGCCTCCGGACAAACATCAAAGTGGAACCCCTTCGGCAGAGGCAGGATATCACAAGTTTTCCCCAAGTCACTTGCGGAAATGAAGCAGCCCTCATCACAACAAATGCAGGCAATACGTCTATGCTTTCCCCAGAAAACCCTCGACATGTGAGGGACTGAGGAAAGCCTTCTGCGGTCATACAGGTGTTATACTGCCCTCAGAATGCCCTCGACATGTGAGGGACTGAGGGGAGCCCCCGGCGAACATGCGAAGGTTATGAATACCTTCCCTCAGAAAACCCTCGACATGTGAGGGACTGAGGGAAGCCTTCGGCAATCAGCAGAAGACAAGTTCTCCAGCAAAAGCACCCAGCGAGATGATGAAGCCTCCAGAAGAAGCAACACATCTACTCCTTTTCCCTCAAGTACCTTTCGGCAAAAGGAGTGAGGGACTCCTGATGGAGTATATGGCCCAGGAACCCCCGGCCCATAGACTCCTACTTCTCCTACACAAGTCCGTTGGGCGCAGGGAACAACTCAGGCCCAAATACAACGGCCCAAGCCTCAAAGTAGCCCAGAATACACGCTGGGGTGCCTTCGGCCTCCTTGGCCGAAGGCTCCAAAACTCACAGAATAGCCTTCTCTGGCATAAAAAGCTACTGGGAGAAAACGGCAAAAAACATGAGCCTTCGGCATTGTCAAGCCCTCGGCAACATAGCCTTCGGTCACATAAGGCCTTCGGCTACATGAGGCCTTCGGCTACACAGGGGTCCTGGTCACATGGAGCCCTCGGCTACACCAGGAACCTCCGGCCAGACACGCTCAATCATCGAAGATTCCTTTTGGAGACAGCCAACCACCGCATTTAATGTCACGTCACATCCGCCAGCCGCATTCAATGCGGTAAACGTACCACTGCCGGTGCCAACCGGTTGATGTGACCCTTCGGCCGTTGGATTACTGACACGTGTCCTCTCATCGCATTTATTGCTGCTATAAATAGCAGCCCATTTTCTCCTTGTAAGACATCATCTACATCTCAACTCCACATCTCGAGTTCATTTAATAAAATCGACTCTCTCTCCTCCTATTTGCTCTGACTTCTCTCTAGTTATTCCCGCAATAACCCCTCGGATAAGATACCCCCCGGGTAGACTATCCACCATAAGTATTTACCGCAGGGGCCTGCCAATCAGAATAAAACATGTGGCAATTCGAATTTGTTGGGAATTGCGGTAAGAAAGGCGCTTCGATATCCGTGACAACATTCAGTAGTGTCGTTGGACCAACGATGGGGACACGCGTCATGGCGAGACATCCTCCCATTCCAGAGGACGCACATCTACACCTCGTTTATGGCTGCTACGTCCGGACCCGGGCAATTTGCAAGGAAATTTCCAATAGGAATTCAAGACGAACATCCCCACCACGTCCACAGCGGGTATGACAACTACACATGGGCCTAAGGACTTGACAAAATTACAGATGCAAGGGGTAACAAGGGAGGGATGTCCTTCCCCGAATCTGTTAGAATGTAGTTAATACGTTCGGATCCGGACACTTAGTAAAATAAAATGCACAAAAAACAACGCAATTGACGAAAGAGTAAAAGACGAGCAAGCATTGGGCAAAAAGGTTTCTTCATTCTTCAGCACTGCTGGCTGGAATGTACAATGAAAGTTCAAGCATAAAAAACAAGGGAGGGGGAGGGGGTACATCAACAAAAGTTAGGGGACTTGGGCCTAGCGTCACCTTGACCGGCCTCCTCCTCATTAGGCTCCGGCTTGGGGGTTGGCAACTCCGAGACCTCACCCCTGGCCACGGCTTCAGCACGTCGTTGGTCCCGCGCGATTTTCCCAACGATCTTCTTCAGATCCTCGTCATCCATATAGTCCACAAGCTTGGAGGCTGGGACACCGAGCTTGGCGAAGGCCGGCAGCATGGCCTTCACCCCCTCAACGTAGCCCTTGTCGAAGGAATCGTCGGCTACATCCAATAGGAACTGGTTGTCGAGCGGATTCCGCTCAAGGAGGTGGATCCCGAAGTTCAGGCAGTCCTTAGGCTCTTGGGCCACCAGCTCGGTCCCAAAGACGTCGCAGAAAGCCCTTCGGCAGTACCGCTGAGCAGCAATCATAAAGTCGTCACTAGCCTTGTACCCTGTCATATCGACCCGCGACTGGGAGGCAGAGGCCTCCTGTTGAGAGGAAGGAGCAGCATCAACAGCGGAACCATCCTCAAAAGTAGGGGGAACGTGAACCAGTTTAAAGTCGTGCTTCTTGAAGACGGCAACTTTGTTGAGGGACACATCCAGGGCCGCCTGCAGCTGTTTCTCTTTATCCGCCGCCGCCGCCGCCTGTAGAAGAGCGCCCTCCTGCACTTTCTTCAAAGCGGCATCCGCAGTGCCTTTGGCCTTCAGGGCATCATCCACAACAGCCTTGAGACGAAGCGCGCTAAGGGCGTCCTGCAAGGCAAAAAAGCATGTAAGAATACGAACGTCCCCCTGTACTTAAGACAAAAACGCACTTGGAAAATAACAAGCAAAACGCTCTTGAATACTGGCCGTCAAGATTGCATTAACAGCCTCAGAGGAGGACCCGGATGGTGAGGACAGCTCGGACCGGAGGGCAAACTCCCTCCATAAATCAGCTGCCGGACGACTAAGGGAGGGCGCCATGACGTCCTCGGCCCCCGAAGCAGAGGCATCGCCCCAAGGCCTCTTCATCCTCTTCTCCTTAGCCTTTTCCCCGTCTCTGCGGGGGACTGCGTTCAGAGGTGTCGCGTTCAGGGCAGCGACAGTATCAATATTCAGGGCCTCGGAACCCTGGCCCATCACGTTCGCGATGAGCTCCTGCTCTGCCTCAGCAGTGCATCTATCAGGCTGAGAAGCCGAGGAATTGGCCTCAGAAGCCTGAGCGGCCTTCGCCTTCGCCAACGCAGCTTTGGCAGCATCCTTATTGGCCTTTCTCTTCTTGAGAAGCTTCTCGTTATTCATCTGTTCCTCGGTGGGTCAGGACCTGAAACAAAACATAATAGGTCAGAACCGGACGACATAAATCATGGGCACTTACCTCAGAGATAGGACCGCCAAGGACCTCAAGACGAGCAGGAAATGACAAAGAGTCCAGGGACACGGGCGGTACCTGTAAGGAATAATTGTACTTAGATTTTGATGATGCTATGATAGATTAGAATTTTAAAGTACCCCTTATAAAAATTTTGTATTAGAATTTTTCATTGTAAGTATTAGCATAGTCGACGGGCCAGAGTTCCTCTTGGTACCTCTGATCAGAGTTGCCAGGAGAACTGCTCCATGAGAGTTGCTCTTCAAAGAAGCATCAGAGCTGCTATGAGAACTGCTCCATGAGAAGTGCTAGCAGAGTTTCTCCTATAACTAGCTATGAGAGTTGCCTGCAGAGCTGCTGTTCAGAGGAATCATCAGAGTTGCTACCAGAGCTGCCCTCAAATAGTTATCAGAGAATCATCAGAGCCCGACTTGAGAACTGCTAATCAGAGAGTCTCATCAGACACCAAACACTTAGAAGAATTTGATGCTACCTTTCAACGGCCGTATAACTAACGGGAAATTCCCTAACGGCTAGGAGATATTTCATCAAAGGAAAGCATTTAATGTTCATTTATTGAGTCTGATACGTTGTGGAGTAAATACAAATGATTGACCGTGATTCCTGGAGGATATTATACAAAAATAGAAACCTGCCAAAACTGCGGGTCCAACCGATCAACTCCACAGTACGCGCATTCAATGCAGTTGTCTCCTCCTCCAACGGGTAGACAACCTCAGTATAAAAGGATATTCGATGAAGAACAAAGGTAGAACTTTGCTACAACCTCAGCTATCACTTTCTTGAGAATTCAAATTCCAACTCCATCAAACAAGAAAAGCCAACATTGGGAAGATATTCAGTTCATATATTTTCATCACCAACAAGAGCAAAGTTTTCCCGTGTTCTTCAAAACTTCAAGAGCTTCATCTCTACATCTCTTATAAACGAAGAAACGTTGGAGAAAACCTGATCCTTGATCAATTACTTCTTGAAAAAGAAGGGACGTCTCAAACTAGCTGGAGTAGTGAAGTGGAGATACTTCAAGAGACTCAGTGAAACGAGACCAGTCATCAGGAAGCCAGGAAGAGCATCCCGGGTGACAACTAGACTTGAAGAAGACGAGGAGTGCTTCTTAAGTTCTAGGGGCTAAGGCGTTGTAACTGTCGTTTTACAAGCTTAGTGGAATAGTGGACTAGAGGAACGTGTTGTTCCTTGAACCACTATAAAAACCCTGGTGTCATTTACTTTACACATTTACTTTCTGCATTTTAGAATCTGACTGTATAACTCCCAAGAACTTGGACTCTGTGTTCAGCAGATCTTGTTCTCAGAGTTATCAGAAGGGCACTTGCCTTAGTATCTGTTTGAGGCTACCTGGACAGAACTCTTATCCGCTGCAAGACCCAGTTCTAATCATCAGAACTCGACCCTCTCTGTCACCTATTTCAGACCTTCTCTGATAAGTCACCTCTGACTTAGAGAAAAAATTGAAAACCTAAACAGTCTATTCACCCCCCCCCCCCCCCTCTAGACTGTTTCCAACTTAAACGGGACCAACAGTACCTATCCCTGCCTCAGCAAGTGCCTCGAGGGTAAAAATGTCCTCTAAGGGCTCAATGTCGCCCGTCACCACTTTCTTGGCAGCTTCCTCCAGATCATCAATCATCCTTGGCAGGCCAATCTTGGGAGGATACCCGTTCCTCCGGGTGGGAAGTCGGGCATCGAAATAACGGAGGAAGAAGAATTGGTTCTTCCAATCGTGTATAGAGGTCGGAGCCCCGTCAAACAATCTTCTTTCGGGACGTGCTGCGATACTCAGGAAGCCGTCAGAGTTCTGGGTGGTGAGTCGGTAGAAGTAGTGAAAGAGATCCAGGCTCGACTCCACCCCCTAGCCTTGCACTGACCGATGAATGCCAAGATAAAACGATAGGAATTGGGCATTAATTGTGCAGGGACCACTGAGAAACAACAAAAGAAGTCCACATAGAATGGATGAAGGGGGAACCGCAGCCCAGCTTTAATGGAGTCCAGGTGTACCACGATCATCCCAGGCTGCCGCATCAACATGTTAGCAGCACCACGTAGACTGTAGACGAACAGCGGGGGAAGGAATATCTTCAGATCCTTAAGAGCCTGGTCTGAGAAGGACTGCGCGTGCCCAACTACGTTCTTGATAAGGACAATGTGATGGTCCACGTCCACTGGGAGGCCCAGATCAAAAACTTCCAAATCAGATCCATTTCCAGCCTCAGTCCCTGATTCGTAATCCTCAGGACGAGCATCTTCTGCCACGACGGGATCGACGTTCATCGTAGAAGCATCCACATCTGCATCTTGGGCCACATTTCCCCGAGGGACGTCCCCCCCCCCATCATCCTCCAGGGTGGCGTCATCTTGGGCAGCACTGGTGGAAGTGACACTTATCACGCCATCCTTTGGAGCAATAACATCACCTTGGGTACCATCGACCGCAATCGTCCCCACCAGGGAAGAAGAACCGGAACTACCAGAGGTGTTGATCTCCCCGGAGGAGCGGGAACTAGAACCAGAGCCTGAGGAGGAGCTGGAACTGGAACTCGAGGAAATCTCCATCGAACACGCCATCGGAGGAGTAGAGAGGGACCATAAATAAGAACAGAAGGAGAAGAATCGAAATTACCTTAACATTTGATGGAATACGAACCGGAAAACCCAACAGCAGAGGCTTGCAGAATGGCGAGTGTTCGAGAGCAAAGAGCAGAAAATCGGGAACCCTAGGCCCATCGAGGGAGCCGGTATTTATAGAGGGAAGCACCGATTGGGGGGCCAATGGGAGAGCGGCACGTGGCGAGGAGCGTACCCCAGGACACGTGTCGCGTGGAGGGAAACGGACGCCTAATGATGACTTGCTCGAAAATTGTACTGTTTCTGCGGCAGCCGTCACCTAGGTTCCTGGGAACCACCATCAAAGGCTAACAGCCGCGTCAGGAACATCCCCGCCCCACCACGGCGGGGGCAAACTCTGCATCCGGGCTCCACACGAATCAGGAATGTCTTCATACTACGATACGGCGAAGACATCCTTTCACTTCCTTATGTCCCACGCACGCTTGGAACATCAAAAGTGGGGGACTTGTGTTGGGTTAATGGCCCAATTAGAGGATCGGCCCATTAAGCCTTTTCTTAGATGAGTAATCGTTTCTCAAGGCCCAAGGCTAGGAAGACGTACGTCACCATCCATAGCCCATGGCTCAGGGGAGATTCAGTCCAGGAATTGAGCAACATATTTTACACAAGGGTCAGGCGACGCACGGCTCACAGCCATTTGAAGCATTACCAGGAGCAGGCCCCAACCCTAGGGGGACGCTCGTCTCGACAAGTTAGGCGGGAAACCGAGATTCTGGCGTGAGGCGCATTTAATACTGGAGATTTGGTGGTTGAGGCATCAGCCATTTGCAGCTCTCCACGTCAGCATAGCCAACTGCTCATTGGTGGTATAAATAGTAGCATTTATTTCATTGTGAAAAGTTGACAACTTATCTGCCTTAGCACTCTAGCTTACTTTCATCTCATAGCTTAATACTCGCAGCTCTTCTACTGGAGGTGTGAGACGAACGGCCGCAGGCCTTAGATAGTGGATTGTATCAGGGAGTTATTAGGTTCTAATAATACTCGATCCACTATTGCATACTTTTCTTAGTCCATCTTACTTGCTTGCATCTCATATCCATACACAATATCCACTCGAAATCCCTGGGCTTACGTGTTGGACCCAAGGGTTGAAGGAATAAACCTCAACAAATATTATGGTGCATCCGCCCCTGGTACGGAACGGTATACTCCTGAGTTTTCCCCAAAATAATGCTAAATAAAAATATAGGGAAAATTACACTTTTAGTCTCAGAAATAGTCATCATATTGAAATGTCAGACCCTTGTTCCCAGTTTGTAAATGTCACCCCTTAATTGTCCAAATTGCTGTAAATGTGATCCTTTGAAGGGTGAAATGTACAATGTGGGCGAGGAGTACATTTCACCCCTCAAAGGACCACATTTACAGCAATTTAGACAATTGAGGGGTGACATTTACTATCTCAGAAATGGTGACTATTTCAGGGACTAAAAATGTGACTTTCCCTAAATATATATTTACCAAAATAAGGTCAGGTTAAGGTATTTTTCAAAATACTGCTCCCTAAACTCTTGTTAAGAAAACCGCCAGTTCAAGTGGCGGCTTATACAAAACAACCAACGAACAAGCAACCAAGCAAGCAGCGGGGAAAACTTGAGATAGACCCCACCAAAAAATAAAATCCCATTTTTATTTAAAAGTAGTATAACTTTTTTTCATTTGTACTCTGATTGTTACAAAAAATATATCAAAATTCATAGCTTTTTATTATCTTTCATATATCACCAATATTGAATATATAAAAAAAAAAAAAAAATTTGACACTTTAAAAAATACTGTTTTCTGTAAATGTTATAACTTTTTTATTTCTACTTAGATTGTTACAAAATATATATCAAAATTCATAATCCTTTGTTATCTTTCACAAGACACTAAATTTGAATATATATAATTAAAAATTAATTTTACTAATTTGTGCACTTTATTATCATATTTTACCGTGCAAACATTTCAAGAGTGATAGCTTAGAATAAAACTGCACAAACTCCATCACTTTAATTTTTAATTATTTGTTCTTTGTGCACTTTTATTATAAACTATCACTCCTAATTAATTGTGTGCACAGTAAAAAAACGAGCTTAAACTCCATAAATTAATAGAATTAGTTTTTTAATGTTTATATATTCAAACTTAGTGTCTTATGAAAGATAAGAAAGAGTTATGAATTTTGATATATTTTTTGTAACACTCGAAGAGCAAATAAAAAAGATATAACATTTAAAGAAAAGACAATTTTTAAAGAGTTAAATTATTATTTTTGTTTTTATATATTCAATATTGGTTTCATATGAAAGATAATAAAAAGTTATGAATTTTGATATATTTTTTGTAATAATCAAAGTCCAAATAAAAAAGTTATACCACTATTAAATAAAAATTGGATTTTTTGGTGAGGCCTATCTCAAATTCCTCCTTATGCCTGCTTGTAAGGGTGTGCGTTAGTTTTTGTATAGAGAATAAAAAATGATCTTTGTACCCATTCTTATACCTACTTTTGTACTCACCTATGTTTGTGAAACTTTTTTTAATTGTCTGTGAACCGTGTTTATAGACAAAAACAACATTCACAAACATGGTGGGTATAAGGTGGGTATAAGGGTTGGTACATGAAGCATTGTTGCACAAAAATTGCTCAATATAGGAGTAAACATAAACATAATTGCACAAATAGAGGTAAAACTTAAAACTTCCTTCAATAGGAGTAAACATTAATTTTGTACCCTTAATATCTCTAACCTAGTTAATTCTATGACTTATTTGATACATTTATGCAGGCCTTTTAATTTTAAAAATAATCTAAGTTCATCCCAACAATATTAAAATATTAAAAATTTAAAAAATTATTTTTTTAAAAAATAAAAAAACTTCAAAAATAAATAAAACATAGATAAATTGCATTAAAATATAAAAAAAATTATGCAGACCTTTCCCGCAGCCTCGGTCATCACCCAACAATGTCACCTTCGATAGGCGAGAAAAATGCCATTTTATGTAAAAGAAATGCCATTTTCTTTGAAAATGCCATAAATATGACAGTTTTACTCTTTGAAAATGCCTAATTTTCTCAAAATCTGGCATCATGATGGCATTTCGGGAAAATGTTGGCATTTGTTTTGGTGGTCGCAGCAGGTGGTGCTGGGAGGTTGTTGAGGCGGCGGCAGACGCCTACATATTTTTTTTACTTATTTTTTCACTTTTTATTTTAATGTTTTTAGTTTTTTATTTTTTTAATTTAAATTTTTTTATTTTATTTAATACAGAGTATATTATATTTGATATATTTTTTTTTGTTTTTTTTTTGTTTTTTTTTTACAATTTTATTATAAATTAATTAATCTTATTTCTTTTATGTTTTAATTGTTAATGAAAGTTGTTGGGGTTTGGGGGTTGGATAGGGGTATACTTGTCCAAACACTAAAGTTACTTCTATTCAAAACATGGTACTCCTATTTTTGCATTTTGTCTATGTTTTACTCCTATTTGGGGAATTGTCTCTTTAGTGTAAGCCGCCACTCCTATTCTCTTAACTAGAGTTTAGAGATCATTATTTTGAGAAATACATTTAACCTGACCTTATTTTGGTAAATATATTTTTATTTGACATTATTTTGGGAAAAACTCTATAATCCTTGCAAAAAAAAAGTACCGTATAATAATACCGATGGATCCAAACATTTAATGTGAGTTAAATCCTTACAACTCTTGGGGATTTCGGTAAACCAATCGTAATTGATTCTAAAATGGTAAATTTACCGTGAACCACTTTGTGATTTTATTGGTTAACCGGACGATGAATTTTTTAAGAAATTGGTATTACGCCACAGGCAAAACAAAAGCTAGGCAACTTCTCGTACTTGAAATCTATCCAATAACCTCCCCCTTGCTCTTTTTTAGGGTTGTCCCCACTTTTAAGGGTTTTCTCACATCCAACATCACCCTAACCCTCATGTAGGCTTCCCACTTCTCAACAAAATGATTATCATCCCAAGAAATAATTTTTCCTAAGTGATTCCCAATTTTACGAGCACAACCCAAATTTGAATAACCATAGGGGATATTGTGAACCTGTACCCAAAAATCAGCCGTATCGAGAGGTAGCTTCAGAGGCATACCTCCCAGCTTAATGACTTTTAACACTAACAGAGATTCTGATCAAATAACCAAGGTCCATTATCCAACACACGATTCATATCTATTATGTGATAAAATGTAAACAGACACCTCTTCCTCCCGACCTCTTGAATCAATACACCTTTGCCCGGACGCCACAGAGAAGATTTGGAATTTGACCACTTTATCCGTTAGGATCGTACCAACCACGGGAAATGTGTCCACCACTTTTTCCGCCGCTTCTGGATCGAGCTCCGCCCCATCCTTGTCGTCCAGCAATAGCTCGTCCAACACCATCCCATCGTACTGCATAGTCAGTTTCTATAGAATCCCTACCCCCACAGCCGCGGAAGACTCGTCGTTCTCGCCATGGTGCACTCCAATCGGCTATGAGGAGACGCCATCCCACTCCTGCTCTTTCCTCTGCGATGCCGGCCCCGGGGTATTCATCCGCAAAGCTTGCTCTCTGTTTCCGCTTCGTTTTCCTTCGCTCGCCATTCGTCCGTACTCCGTACCGCACAAAATCGGCAGAGAGCTCAAACCCTACGCTGAGGGAAGGCTGCGTTTTTGTTTTGTTATTAAGTTGGATTAAGTTGGATATGAAGCCCCGATGAAATAAGCTAAATTTTAAAAAAACAATCTTGCTTTTTAATTGTGGATTTTATTGATGTAGCAAACAAGACTAGGGATGGCAAAAGGGCGGGTTTGGGGCGGGGGTTCACTCCCCCATCCACCGCCCCATGTCTAAAAAGTTCCCCCCATCCCCGCCCTATCCACCGTCACTCCCAGACCCGCCCCATCCCTGCCCCACCCCGCTGTCCCCCACGAGTGCCCCCATATATATTTTAATTATCTTATTTGTGTATTTTTTTTAAATCCATTTTATAAATAGATATATATATAGCACTGAAAGAGTTAAACTAGATAATATTGTGTTCGATAAAAAATGATACCGCCGATTTATAATAATTCTTCAATTTGAATAAGTTCTATGAAAATAATAAAACTAAAAGTATAAGTAAACATATTACAATCATGTATGATGTTCTAAATTTCTCATCATTTATACTACAATTAATTATATATATTATACATATGTTTGTGTAGTGTGCGTGTTCTATTTACTTAGTTTCTCACTTTTAAAACTCATATACGGAGTATCATTTATGATAAGTATTTTTAGTCATTACTATTATTCTAATATAATACTTGCGTAGTATTAGTTCATTAATCATGACTAATACACATACTTGTATGCATGTCTATAAGTATGTGTATGTGTTTGTCATATAGTACATATAATTTAATTAAATATGTTTATATAGTATTAATATGTGTATGTATGTATATGTATGTTTGAGTATACATTTAATTATAACGGGTACGGGGCGGGGTGGGGTGGGACGGGGCGGGTGTAGTAATCCCCATCCCCCGCCCCATATTTTAGTGTGGTAGAAATATCTCACCCATCCCCACCCCCGTCCCACCCCAAGCCCCGCCCCATCCTTCCCCCACGGGGAGGTTCCCCACGGGTCCACGCCCCCATCGCCATCCTTAAACAAGACATCCAAAGGCGAAAGCTTGCAAAAAGAAAGAGTTAAGAAACTGTAAGGACGAAATTAATAAGCAGCAGAGTAAACAAAGTCCCCCAAATTTCTTTTCTCCCTCCACACCCCTGCGTTCTAGAATATACTAGTATATGATGTTCCAATCATTCCATCAGTAGGTTATATGTATGCACATGACCAAGCTATATGATCAGATAACGTGCTTATTTGGAAAGGCTAAAGCAATCAAATTAATGCTCATACTCTCAAGTTGTAATGAAGTTGGACAATTTCATCAGATCTACACCTTCCTATCAATTAATGGTAACACAACTTCATAGGAAAGTATATAAAGAGCTGAGCAGTCATAAAGAGCCATGGCCAGTTCATCGATTAGGTCTTCTCCTCAATACAAGGTCCTGTTTTTTTGTGTGAACTTATTTCTGTCTTTTTCAGTACCACACCGAAAATTTTAATTGGTTTTCAAAGCGTTGATAAGAGCACTTCCCAACCATTTGATTGTAGTAGCTATTGGAATAGTTATTGAATGATCTTCTCTATCTATTGCCAAATAGTTATTGAATGATCTTCGCTACTTTGGGTACTCAGACCTCGAGCTGCTCCAATTAGTCTAAAATTAGAATTAAATACTTCTAATATTGGACCACTTGGAGCAACTCAAGGCTTGAGTCTTACAAAATAGTTGAACATGTCTTTTGAGATATTTTTGTATTTGTCTTTGTATTTTTTTTTATAATAATATCTTCTCAATTCAAATTGATTATAGTTATAATACAACCACCCATGTAATGAAAAAGTTCGTCATATTGATTTTTGGTCAATAATGATCAACTTTGGACAATATTTTAATTATAATATACGTGTATAAATTATATGCTTTTAAGATAATATTTTTAATAATGAACATTTTTACTTAATTTTTATATTCAAAACATTTTCATGTAAAAAAATAGCATTGCTCAAAGTCGGATATCATTGATCACGGAAAATCAATTTGACCAATCTTTTTGGGACAGAGTGAATAGAGAAGTTTGATGTGAGTTTTCCCGCACCTAAAATAAATGTAGCAGTGTAGAGTTTAAGTACGAGTACTGTCTGCACCATGACCGAAAAAGGGAATTAAGTATTAAATAAATTTAGCGATTAAAATAAATATAATAAATGCGAATGTGCGAGATTTGATTTTTGGAAAATAAAATGTGAATAAATAGCCAGTGTAAAAGGCTCTTTCTAATTAATGACTAAAGGTAACATGCATTGAATCAGGGGGCAACCAAATTTCGGTGTTGATCAGGCTTAAACACATGAAAATTACTAGTATTTAATTGAGCAACGTAGGTCAATATTAAATTCTTACCGCTCTCGCGGTGTAGAGTGCAATAAGGATCGATCACATGAGCAAGGTTTGGAAAAGAATAACTCGGGCCAAGGTTTTACTCTCACTTGCAACCTACTCGGACAAGGATTGAATGATGGATCATCAGGACTGATGTAGTCATGTTAGGCACATATAGGCTAAAATATATGCAAGCTAACCTTTTAAATAACATTAATTTGACATTTTTTTGAAAGAAAACATTAATTTGACATAAGCACTGAATTAACGCTTTAAAACCATAACAATATCCACCTGCATTATGTAGCAAAAGTTATGATGCATACTAAACATATAAAGGAGACAAGGAACAAATAAACATACCATTTGCTAAGGCTTTGTACCTCCAATGGGTATGAAAAGAAACAGAGGACAATGAAAAAAGAGCAAGTCAATAAAGGATCAAGTGCTGAAAAGAATGGCATCTCAAACTTGATAAGTTCATCACCATGTTCATATCAAAGTATCACGGATACAAGTTTTATTTTAGAATTACTATCTGAAGGTGTAAGTTATAAAAAAAAGCATTCTTCCTATGTTACTCCTTTTTAAGAAAGTGAGTTACCAATAGCAACAAGTGTTTGGTGTATTGCTTTTAGGTATATTTGTTAGGTAAAATGGTATTGTTGAGATATATTATCCCGACCTACCACTGTTCAGAAGCCCAAAGCATTATCCATTACGGAGCCCGATCAGTGAGGCCGTTTTGGCCCGTTTTGGCCGTCCGGCCCACCTTGGCCCATTAGAGTGGAGAGCACACTTCCCCTTTCCTCTATAAATAGGAGGCTTTCCGCTTTCCCTCGTAAGGAAGGATCCCTTTTTTCCCCTCCTCTCTAGATAGTTTTCTCCTCCATTAATGGGAGCTTCAATATTTGTGTATTGTAATGGCGAGGAGAGTCTAATGAGAATGAGAGTGGCCGGGACATTAGCCCAAAAAATCCTTTGGTTTTCTCCCTTTCGGGTTTCCACGTAAAGATCAATAATTTAGACATGTATTTTGTTTTTTGTTTTTATTTTATTTTATTTTTAAAATTTGACATTTTTAGGGTTGAGGGGGTAAATTGAACGATTCGGTCGGGTTCAGGGGCTTATTTGACGCCTTAAGTTGCCACTTCACATGCACAGTTGGTACCCTATCGGGTGACGTGGCGATGACCGGCTTGTGACCTGCTAAAAGTGAATTTTGAATCGTTCAGGGTGCTAATTGGAGCTTTTTTGGGTTCAGGGGCAAATTGAACAATCCGGAAAGGTACATGGACCTATTTGACCCTTTAGCCAAATGTTAATTTAGGTGGTTGTGTGCTGCTCAATTTATAGATTTGTTGTTAGATATTTTGTAAACTAATTTAAAGTGTTGTTTTATATTTTTATTTGGAATTTTTACTATATTATGGTTACATTAATACTTAATTAGTTTGAGAATTTTACAACTTACTAGAAAGTTTGCTAGCATAGCCGGGTTTTTTTACAAAAAAATAAAGAACCGAGAACTCGAACCGAACCGGCCCGTTTCAAACGGGGCAGATAAGGCCCGGTTCCTATTTCGAGATAGCTAAATCACTGGTTGAAAATTAGTCCCTTTGTTTGGATTCTGATTCAAATGGGGCGGGTAAGGTTCGGGGTGTTTTTTTGGATTCTGATTCTGCTGATTTTTTAGATTGCTAAATCACTTGTTGAAAATTAGTCCCTGAGTTCATTAGAAGTGAAATCGAACCAAATAAAGTTTCCAATGAAAAAACACAGGAAGTTCAAAATCCGAAAGACATAAAGGATCAAAAATTGAGAAGACAAGAAATTTGAAGATTTGGATTGAAAATCAAACAAATCCAGTAAGGCAGTAACTGAGATGGTCATTTTTACCAATTTTTAAAAAAAAATGGTACAGTTAACCAGAAAGTAACGATTTTTCGGTTTTTCCGGAAAAATGGTACGGTTAGATTGTTATATTATTTTTGCCCACCCACCCTTAACCGGCAGTGCATATTGACCATGTGGGTTGGGTTACGTTGCTGTGTGCAAATGAAGATAAAAATGTAGCCACACAGCTATAGCGCGACGGGAAACATCACCATCTAGGAAGCTTTGAAGTTTGAAATAAGCTAAACTTAAAAAAGGGCTTGCTTTTTTTAATTGAGGATTTTATTGATGTGGCAAACAAGACATCCAAAGGCTAAAGCTTGCAAAAAGAATGAGTTAAGAAACTGTTAGGACCAAATTAATAAGTAGGACACAAGCACCAAAGTAAACAAAGAGGCGGTTTGGCAAGACTATTTTTCGGCTTATCAGCCAACTTTTTCACCAAACACGTAACTTTTGCTTTCGCTCACTGAATTGTGTAATAAGCAAAAAAAGTAAGGTTGAAGTTACTTTTATGGCTGTATTAGCTGAAGTTACTGTAGATGACTATTTTAGCTATTTTTACATATAATTTTTTCCTTATTTTATTAATAAATTTTCAAAATTATTTTTTCTTAAATTAGCAGAATCAGCCAATGCAGCCACTTCTGCCAGAACTTCATAAATTTCAGTAGAATCAACCAAATCAACCGACTTTCGTGCTACCAAATGGGCTTTAAGTTACAATCATTATCTTTATATGATCATCAAAACCTTGTGCGACTGCCGCACGTGCTTATTACTCCCTCCGTCCCAATATAAAAGGCACATTTGCGTTTCTAGACATTTTAAGGGTGAACACTGTTTGAACACTGTTTGACACTATTTAGACACTGTTTGGCACTGTTTGGACACTGTTTGGCACTGTTTTGCACTGTTTTGTTTGCCAAAAAGGGAAATGTGCCTTTTATATTGGGACGGACCGAAAAGGAAAGTGTGCCTTTTATATTGGGACGGAGGGAGTATTATTTATGTGTAAAAGTTTATACTAAAAAAATGTCAAGTTTAAAAACCTTTAATTTTGATATACTTGTTTAGAAAACATCAGAAATCTAATAATATTTTAAATTCTAGTCTCTTATGATGCTCTAGCTTTAGCCACCATGTCAGCAATTAATTTTAGTATTTCATAATTGTATTGTAACAATACAAATGAATGAGGTCACACTATCATAGGGAGGAGCTTTTCTTTTTGGCTTTTAAACTATTGTTGAACTTCTATGCATATAATGCGTTCATTCAATTGATCCATTCATGTTTTTATTTTTTTGTAAAATATGGGATGCTAGCTTTAGCCGTCATACAAAAACACGAGGTCACTAGGTGGAGCTTTTCTTTTTTGCTTTTAAACTAGTGTTGATCTCCTATGCATTTAATGTGTTCATTCAATTGATCAATTCATGTTTCTATTTTTTTATAAAATACTAAAAATACATTTTATACGCGAAGTATAAAACACTAAGATTTTTTTCCTTTTTAAACAGACTAACATTTTTTTTCATTTTGAACGTGTTTTTTTGTTCAAAAATTGCATGTGTTTAAAACGCAAAAAAGCTAGTCACTAACATTAAAATAGACAAGTTGTCTAGTGTCTAAACTACGGTAAATTACATGGTACAGCCGGCTGTACCGTGCGCATGGTACAGCCGGCCTTTTGGTTCGCAAATCGCAGGGCTTCCGTCGTCGCAGGGCTTTCGTCGCAATTAGCAGGCTTCCATCGCGGATCGTTCTTCACACCCAGCTTCGCGCCAGGTTCAGATCTCTTCTGGTTCTTCGATCTGGCTTCGCCCCTGGTTGATTATATGCTCACCACTCGTCTCTTTCTCTTCGTTGCTTGTCGTTGCCTCTCACCGCTCATCTCCTTCTCCTCTAGAACGGACACAACAGATCCTCCCTCTGTCTTTCTTTCACTCTTTTAGTTTTTCTCACGTTTCTTCTTAATCAGTTTTGATGTTTGAGATTGTGATTTTGGAAGACAAAGAGAGTCTGCTGCAGACATAGGAATCCTCACTGCTATTGATCTCAAATGAGTTTTATATTAAACTCAAATAAGTATACTTATAAAAGAAATGAACAAACATAACCGGATATTAAACACATTAAAAATGAGCTTTGTATTAAACTCAAATGAGTATACGCTTAAAAGAAATGAATTTACACAACTGAATATTAGGCACATTAAAAATGAGTTTTATGTTAAACTTAAATGAGTATAACGCCAAAATCAATGAGCATGCACAAATGAGCTTTTAAATTTTTTTTATACTCGTTTGTAAATTATGTATGATCATTTGGTACTGCTTTATGCTCATTTTAAAATGATTCACATATCAACTATAACGCCCAAAATCAATGAGCATACACAAATGAGGTTTTGAATTTTTTATACTCATTTTGTAAATTATGTATGCTCATTTTGTACGGCTTTATGCTCATTTTAAAATGATGCACATATCAAACATATCATTCTACATTAGATTCACATATTGGAATTAATTATAAACATAATTTAAGAATTTTTTATAAACGAAAAAATAATAAAAAGAAATTGAATTAGAAGATATGAATCAGAAATCACTGGTGCTCATTGTTAGACTCCTAATACTCAAAAGAACAGACTCGATGCTCATCACAATCGCATAATGAAAATCACTGGTGCTTTTAATTTCAAGTTGATGCTCAATGAAAATGTCTTGATGTTCAATTAAATGTATTTATGATTTTCATATCTATTCTCATTTTATAAGTTATGTATGCTCAACGGGTATTCATGTTATGCTCATTTGTAAAATGACATAACAATGTATATTTCAAAAGTATCATATTCCATTAAATTCGCATACTGAAGTTCATAAGAGTTGATTATAGATATAATTTAATAAGTTTTTATAAAGAAAAAAATAAGGAACAAAAAGTAAATTCGAAGAGATGAAGCAGGGACCACGATGCTCATTGTTATGCTTCTAATGCTCAGCAGAATATCTATCATGCTCACTAGACATGGTTTAATGCTCATTTAGTACAACACGCGAATTTCATGTAAATTACAAAAATGCCACCGGCTGTACGGTTCTCACCGTACAACCGCCTGTACTATATACGCCTCCTCTAAACTACTGACGCTCCTGTTGTACAACCTAAAAGACCCATGTCTCCTACTAATCATCAAAACAATAAAACAGCCCATAATCCAGGGTGCCAAAAACCAACACCAAGTAAATGTAATAACCAAACATAATTTGAAAATTAAACGAAAACGCAAATAAATATGCAATAATAAATAACTAGTCATGAGATTACATACTTAGCGGGCCTGTCAGCCATAACCGAATTTTCCCCTCCAACTGGCTCCAAATCCATCATTCCCTGTCTTAGCTTCGATGATCCTTCCTTTGCTAGGTCGCCAAAATAACCCCAGGTACGTATTGTGATTTTTATGGACTTTCTGGTGATGGCGATACCCACTAGAAACCACCATGGGAAACCCTCTTCCATACTCCCATCATCTTCCAACGACGACAGGAAACCATCTGAGTCGGCTGCATTGTTCCTCCATTGATGCTTTACTCGGCGGCGTCCTGGACTGATACTGTGCAAAATCCTCCGTTGT